CTGGTGCCCAACCCCTGCACCCACCAGTGCCGCGCTTCTGCAGGCGCAGGCGCTTGAGGATCTCCTCGAACTTCGGGTGCTTGCTGAGGTTGGGCAGCTTGACGTGGACGCCACCACGCAGGCCAGTGCCCAGGTTGGACGGGCAGGTCAGCACGTAGCCCAGATGTTCGTTCCACATGAAGGGGTGCCCGGCCTTCTTGAAGTCCTCCTCAATCTGCCAGGGCAGGGAGGGGGATCAGCACCAGGACCCAGCCCCCTCCTGCTCCCACCTTGCCAGCCCCCACTGGCCTCCCTGGGCAGGGGCAAGAACCCAGACAGCCAGACCCGCACCTTCTGGAGCCCGACACAGAAGCGTCGGAAGACCTCCTTCATGTTACCACCCTTCTGCATGGAGATGACGCGCAGGTGGTCCTCCTCATTCACCCACACCAGGAAGGTCTTGTTGTCATTGTGCCTGCAGGGGTGGGGAGGGGGTGGCTGCTGTCAGGGCCCCTGCACCAGTCCTGTCCCCTGCACCCTGCCCCAGGTTCCCTCAGCCCCAGGGCTAGGACCCAAGCTTCCTGCTCCAGCCCACAGACTCCCAAAGGCAGATCAAGGACCCAGGAGTCCTGGGGCCAGTGTGCAGTCTCCACTTCCCCCAGCTCTGGGGCTGGGACCCCAGCGTCCAGCCTGTGGGGGGCCTCACCAGATGCCGCGGGCATCAGGCCAGTCGCGGGCCATGCCGGAGGCCAGCAGCAGGGGTGACACAGGCTTGTCAAAGAGAAAGTGGTCGTCGATGAGCTGCTGCTGCTCTTGGTCCGACATGTCCTTCAGTGGGTAGTACTTGCCCTTGAACTCCCCGGTCAGGCTGTTCAGGGCTGGGGTAAGACACCATGTCAGGGACGCCTCCAGGCACCCTGCAACCTGACCCTGCCAGGCACCCTGGGAGATGCCATTGTCCCTGCCCCATGTCCAGGGGTGCTCCCAGCTTCCTGGGGAATGGAGACTGGCCCCCAGCCCCATGCCCCCCCACCTCACTGCTGATGGAGAGCTCCCCCCTGCCCCCATCCCCCCCCCACTCACTGCGGAGGGAGAGCTTCCAGCCCGGGCCTCCCCACGGCTGCAGGGGGGGGGCAGCGAGTAGCCCTTGATGCTGCGGCCCGTGCGCACCCGGCTGCTCAGCACGTAGTTGGGGTCCAGGTCATCCCCACCCTGCACAGGCCAGAGGAAACGTCAGTGCGGCTGAGGGCCCCTTGCCCTGTGCCCCCCGCCCCCAAAGAAGCCATGACAGGGCCCTCTCCACTCGAGCTGGTAGCACCAGCTCTGCCGGTCCCCCACCCCAATCAGGCACCTTGAGGTTCTCATGGTTGAGGTCAGTCTTGTGCTTGTCGGTGGGCTTGTACCCGCCATGCCTGTCCTGGATCACGGGGTCGAACAGGTCCTTGAAGACTTCATAGCTTTCCTCATCCCCAGCCACACAGCCTACGGTCATGATAAAGGGGTGCCCTGCGGGGTGGGGGAACAGGGTCAGGGTCATGGTCACCTGCCCCCAGCCCTCACCTCTGCCCCACTTGCCCCTTCCACATACACTGAGGCCACCCGAACCCATGGCAGAATCACACCATATCAAATGTATCCCACAGGCCTCACTGCAGCAGTATCCTGGGCTTGGAGCTGAGTGACACGAGGCTGGGAATGAGGGAGAGGAAGCCCCAGCTCCCTGCCCTTGCCCCTGTCACCACCAGGCTGGGGGGTCCCCGGCTCCCTGCCCTTGCCCCCCTGCCCCCCACAGCAAAGGAGCCAGAGGACCTGGGTTGTCAACGCCGGTCTGGATGATGTCGTCGAGGGTGAAGCCGCTGGGGGTCTCCTTGTCCCGCAGCTTCTTGTAGACGTCCAGGGTCAGTGCCTTGGCCATGTGGTTGTTGTGCTTCGTCAGGTCGGGGAACTCGTCCTCCGCTGAGTAGTTGAGCTTGAACTTGTTGTGGGTGTTACCGAACGGCATGGTGGCGGTGGTGGTGGGCACGGCCTGAGGGCACCGGCACTCAGGGTGCTGCTCTGCTCCCTGCCACCCCAGTCCCAGTCCCTCTGGCTCCCATAGTTCAACGCTCCTGCCCAGGCGCTCAGATGCCCGGGCCGCGGGTGGCTGCCCAGGCAGGGCACTGGTGGGGGCACCTGGCATGGGCCGGAGGCGCCCGGGGCAGGCGGGAGGCGGTGCCCCGGGGCTCGAGCGCAGCGGCGGGGGAGCACGTGGGGGAGGCCGGGGGGGGCCAAGGCTCGGCGCCGCGCCCGGCAGCTGTCCGCGCTATTTATACCCGCGCTTTGCCCACAAAAAGCCCCGGCTGCGGGGCCGAGCT